ATGAATTCAAGGTGAAATGCATCCCTTTTGCAAAAAAATAAAAAGAAAATGTACACAAGAAGGTCTCGTTTGGATTTTAAATAATGATGCACCATAGACTAGTGTCATATTACATTGAGTAAATTTAGGGGAAATCCAGCAACCTAAAACATTTTTTAAATATTGTTTACAAAAAAAAAAGCTGTGGATACTCAGAATTTATATAAAATTACTGAATTTCCAAGCATACATAAAAAGTTGAGCAATTATCAAACTTGACAATACTGCAGATGTTTAGCTGTTAAATTTATTTATTCTTGTTACATAGTCTGGCTTAAACCCATAAAGGTTTGTGTATTGCCGCCCTCTAGTGGCCATTTTGACCTTTGTCAAAGAAAAATAACGTTCAACAGTTTGTTTCATATTTTTATGCATACATTATGGCAATACAAATAATGGAAATAGACAGGCAGACAGACAGATAGACAGATAGATAGATAGATAGATAGATAGATAGATAGATAGATAGATAGATAGATAGATAGATAGACTCCATGCCACGCCGAATTGAGGCAGTAATTAAAGCAAAAGGAGCCCCTACCAAGTATTGAGTACATGTACAGTAAATGAACATACTTTCCAGAAGGCCAACAATTCCCTAAAAATTTTTTTTTATTGGTCTTATGAAGTATTCTAATTTGTTGAGATAGTGAATTGGTGGGTTTTTGTTAAATGTGAGCCAAAATCATCACAATTAAAAGAACCAAAGACTTAAACTACTTCAGTCTGTGTGCATTGAATTTATTTCATACACAAGTTTCACAATTTGAGTTGAATTACTGAAATAAATGAACTTTTCCACGACATTCTAATTTATTGAGATGCACCTGTATTTCCACAAAAAAAAAGAAAAAAGAAAGAAAAGTGTTTTCCACCGTTTTTTTTCAGGAACCCAGTGAGCACATCATTTGTTTTATATGTATTTGAAGAGTGTGGTTAATAATGAACTTTTCTCCCAAATGTGTTCCTTTTCATCACATAGACATTGAGAGAATTTAGCTAATTAATTTTAATGCAATGACTAAGAATAATGCATCTTAATGAATAAAATCTGGCCTTCATGTTATACTCAAGAAATAACATAGCAGACATTTTTAATTTATAAATGCTGAGACATGAAAGGCCAGGAGTCTGCATTCTCTAAATGTATGAATTCAAGGTGAAATGCATCCCTTTTGCAAAAAAATAAAAAGAAAATGTACACAAGAAGGTCTCGTTTGGATTTTAAATAATGATGCACCATAGACTAGTGTCATATTACATTGAGTAAATTTAGGGGAAATCCAGCAACCTAAAACATTTTTTAAATATTGTTTACAAAAAAAAAAGCTGTGGATACTCAGAATTTATATCAAATTACTGAATTTCCAAGCATACATAAAAAGTTGAGCAATTATCAAACTTGACAATACTGCAGATGTTTAGCTGTTAAATTTATTTATTCTTGTTACATAGTCTGGCTTAAACCCATAAAGGTTTGTGTATTGCCGCCCTCTAGTGGCCATTTTGACCTTTGTCAAAGAAAAATAACGTTTAACAGTTTGTTTCATATTTTTATGCATACATTATGGCAATACAAATAATGGAAATAGACAGGCAGACAGACAGATAGACAGATAGATAGATAGATAGATAGATAGATAGATAGATAGATAGATAGATAGATAGATAGATAGATAGATAGATAGATAGATAGATAGATTTTATTAATTGTGATGTGTAATTTTGTCAATATGGAGCCAGAATGATCTCAATAATAATTCACGCAAAAGACGCGATGCACACATGCATAACCCAATTCACATGCACGAGAAATAATTCACGTGCACGAAAAATATATATATTCCAATTCACCTGCACAAAATAAGAATATGTATTCATAAAATACGTTTCACAAATGCAAAACACAATTCACAGATGTACAACTGTATTCAACATGTTTGAATGTTTTAAATTCCCGAGTTTATCATGGGCTGTGAATGTGAATGCCTCGGATTTGTGTGTATTTTGAGACTTTCCCGGCAGCGAACTCCTCCCACTCGGGACACTCGTACTCTTTAGCCAATCAGATTTGAGCTTGTCAGTCGACCAATCATAACCCCCTGTGGGCAGTATGAATCGCGTGCCCTGGGCTTGCCAACCTGGATGCTGACGTCATCAGCGCGAGCCCACCGTTCAAATTACGATTCAGCAGAGGTATGTGCAGCTGGTCGTTTTGTTTCAGTTAACTAGACAAGTAAAGGTTTATTGTTTTATTTTTGCATGTTAAAACTTGGAAGTAAAATTGGTCGTTTAGACACGTTCTAATGTGAACAATGTAAGCCAGAGGCTGCTGTTTAGAGTATTATGATTTAATATTGATCAATTGTTTATTTAATAAATAATCGTTATTCATGTGGATACCATACCACATGAAGATATTAGATTCAGAAACTCAGTGTAAAGCATACAATAATGTTTTTACTGATGGGACATGTGGTAAATATAAGATTATGAAAATATACTTTTTGTTTATTGAGAATATGAAAGAGCTGTCACAGCAGAGCTTGTCTTGTGTGTAAAGTCCTGTGATGGCTCGCATTCAAGTGATGACAATGTGATAACATGCACACATTGGAGACCGTGTACATTTCATGTAAGTTTGTTTATGCTGCAGATACTCTTTATTTCAGAATTGTGAGGCTGATGATGTATAAGTAGCTGCTGAGACTGTTCCTACTTCATCCCCTGCCACAAGTTATGAGCTGATGTGAATCTAGAAGTTTCATTTGGAACTGTAACTCTTTCAGAACAGTCATGTTGCAACCCATTCTTTTTGACAGTTTCAACAGCTTATTAAGTCATGCATTATTACTACATTTTTTGTTTTCGTTTATAACAGGACCCCATAACTTTGAACATGTTCAAGGTGTAAAGCTTTATGCATTGTTAAATGTTCTTGTTCTGGTTTTATGTCAGAATTAAAACATTCAAAACAAGTCCGTTGTTACAGTTGCTGTATAGGATTTATTAATTTATTGAAGTTTTCTTTAAATGTCAATGACATGACCTGACCATGATTAATTGCAATGTGCCTGTAACATGAAATATGAATTGACAATTATGGAGTACAAATTTAGCACATTTGAATATGTCTCTCGCATAGGTCTGAGATTGGCTCGATACCAGTTTGACGCTGTGCTAGAAGTATAGTGTCCCATTTAGAGTCTTTAGCATTCTTTTAAAACTTTATGGCTGAATGATAATTGTATCAGTGTAATACATCATGTGAAAATTCCATTAATCAAATGTTTAAGATCCAGTCTTTCACTATCTCTCTCTGTCAGGACGTGGCAGGTTTTGGTCTGATATTCAAAGCAGTTAACACCTTGGCATGTTAACTCTTATATATATATTTTTTTTTACAAGAGATGCAGATACAGAAAGAGCAGAAAGCATGAGATAAAGTGATAAAATAACTGAATAAAGATTACTGAATAATTTTTGTTGCATTCTTCTTTATGATCAGTCTTTGTCTGACCAGCATAAATTCCACAATTGTTACCAAGCAAATACAACTGCTGCTTACCAAAATCGTCGTAATGTAAAAATCTTTTGCGATTACAATACACAACATAAGAATAACATTAACAATGGTTAATCACAGTAATATAATATGAAAAGTAAATGAATGTTGATTACATTAAAAAAAAAATACATAAAGGTGATGCACATGAAAGAGATAAAGATTGTGAATGAAGACGTCTGTAACTGTCATCCAGATGTTGTGCCAAAGTGTTTAAATCCTGAAAAATCAAGCAAAGCAGTTAGTGTGTATTAATTGAACACTGCATCCTGCTGCACAAATGGTAAGTACAAACATCCTGCTGTTCATACACGGAGTTCTCCTGAGGTCTATTCATCATTGTAAAGCTATGGTTATGAGGGCAGGGTCTGTGCTAAGTGGGAGCTAGGCTGGACATTGGCCACCCAGCGTTGCTGAACAAAACCAGGGCAATGAGTATAGTTCCTTTCTTCATCTTGGCCAGACATTGTGGCTAACACAAGACAGCTGCATTTTTGGCAACACTATCTGTATTCATAGCAGGCGCTGGCTTACATTGTTCACATTATCGAGTGTCTAAACGACTGATTTTACTTCCAAGTTTTTAAGTAAACATGCAAAAATAAAATGATAAACCTTTATTTATTTCATTTATTTAGTCATTTAGCAGACGCTTTTATCCAAACCGACTTACAAATGAGGACAACAGAAACAATCAATTGTAGATTGTTTTTTTTATTTTTGACTTTACTTGTCTAGTTAACTGAAACAAAACGACCAGCTGCACATACCTCTGCTGAATCGTAATTTGAACGGTGGTCTCGCGCTGATGACGTCAGCATCCAGGTTGGCACGCGATTCATACTGCCCACAGGGGGTTATGATTGGTCGACTGACAGGCTCAAATCTGATTGGCTAAAGAGTACGCGTGTCCCGAGTGGGAGGAGTTCGCTGCCGGGAAAGTCTCAAAATACACACAAATCCGAGGCATTCACATTCACAGCCCATGATAAACTCGGGAATTTTAAACATTCAACAATTTTGTACACAGTTGTACATCTGTGAATTGTGTTTTGCATTTGTGAAACGCATTTTATGAATATATGTTCTTATTTTGTGCAGGTGAATTGGTTTTTGTGAATATCTATAGCCTATATTTTTCGTGCACGTGAATTATTTCTCATGCATGTGAATTGGGTTATGCATGTGTGCATCGCGTCTTTTGCGTGAATTATTATTGAGATCATTCTGGCTCCATAATTGTATTATTGAATTATTATTAAAATATGTCTGTATAGGTTTTTTATTTATTTTGCAGATTGATGTTAACGTTATGGAAATACAAATAATGGAAGATGGCAAGACGAATAATGGGAATAGAGTTTTAAAACGAGTTTATGCTTTTTATGTTGGCGTAGGTAATATAACCCCAGTTAAGCTTCACAAAAATAATCAACCGTTATGTGCTGCTTTGTAAAGGCAGAGTGTCCTGCAGTTGCTCCAGCTGTCCGGTGGATGTCGCGTTAACTCCTGGGAATCCCACTTCCAACCTTTTGCTTGGAAGAGACACGCCGACACCACATTCAAAATGGCCTCTACCAGCGACTTCGCTGGACGTGGATCAAAATGTGCATAAACAACACCGAGCCGTGGCTTTACTCTCCATCCTCAACGCTACAGGTTTCGGAGGCGCGATGTCATGAATGTATTGGACTGGCAGAATCGGCGGGGTACATAAGATGAGAGCTTGTTTTGCAGACAGCCCAGCCGAACCGGGGCGCCGCCGCTGCAGCAGGGCTTCATCTGCCTTTCTGAACCGCGGACACCTCCAGTGAGATGGAAGGAGTTGAGGATGCTGCTGATGAGCCGGGACTCGCACCGTCCATCGATGTCAACGACAACCGGGAGGAGTACAAAGCACGCGTTTGCGGTTCAGACACCGAAAGCGCACGGGAGGGTTCTGTTTACAGTTCGGTTTATGCGAATCCGGGCGGTGCTGGACTGCCGTCTCTCTCCCCGCTGGTGGTGGGGTGCAGGGCCGGAGTATTAAACGGGTTTCCCGGGAAGCTGGAGGTGGGTATGGTGTGTCCGGATGGAGGAGGAGGAGAGGGGGGAACCCGGACCGGCCCGAATCGGGTTACAGGGACGTCCGAAGCCGAGAGCTTGAATAAACCCGACAAAGGCTATTTCAATTCACAACTGAGGTCTGCAGTGTCAATTACGGGTAAGAACTCGCCGGATATGAAGATGCCTAATGGAGATGTTACCCATGAGCACATTGATCATGATCAGACTCATTTAAGGTGTTTGAGTTATGCAGAAGGATTCAACAGGAAGGTGCCTGCTTTGGACAGAGGTGTGAAAGTGGGCAATGGGGGGTTGTTGATCGTGAACAGTTATGAAACCCTGTCTCAAGTCCCCTTCAGAGCCTTGGGTGGCCTTCCTGCTCCAGAAAGCCGTGTCTTTGTTCATCAAAGCGACGGTGTCCTCTCCATGGGGAGGTCATGTGAAAGGATCAGTCGTGCCAGTGCTGAGAGCTCAGAGGAGGCCCGGCCCTGTGACCCGGATCCCGCAGACACCCTGTCAGACCTCAGTGCCAAGCTGTCCTTGTCTCCCCTGGCAGAAAACACCAGTGATTACACAGAGACGGACCCGAGCCCGGAGGAGGATTTCAGCGACACGGGCCCTCCGCCTCTCAGGCCCCAGAACCTCCGGACTAACCCCGGTCACACAGTCTCCCTCAGCTGTGATGCCACTCCTCTGACCCCCGGGGATGATGGGTATTTTGGAGCAGAGGGCTGTGTGGATGAATGTCTCAGCTCTGTGAAAGCATTCGAGGGGGGCCGGCGGCAGAGTGCTCCAGACAGGGTCGCAACTGACACTGATGCCTCATCTGACCAGACACTTGGCACTAAGAGACACGGTATTGCTGAGTTTCTGACCAGGTAAAGTCTGATGAGTTGCAGTAAACGTTTTTTTGACCTTTTTACATTTGCCCCATTCAAGTGTCTACAAACAGTTACAGCTTTCTGTTGGTGTTTTTTTTTTTTGCTTGTATTTATAGGACATGATGCATGATATGATCAGGATAATTTCAGGGACTTTTATGTTTTTTTTATTTATTTATTTGTGATAGGTAAGATTAGTTTTATTGTTTTCGATAGTCTCTTATGTTCACCAAGGCTGCCTTTATTTGACCAAAAATACAGTAAAAACAAAAATATTGCGAAATATTATTACAATTAAAAATAAAATTTTTCTATTTTTGTAGATTTTAAAATGTAATTTATTCCTGTTATTTTTAGCAGCCATTAGGCCATTCTTCATTGTCACATGATCCTTCAGAAATTATTTTAATATGCTGATTTGATGCTCAAAAACATTTCTTATTATTATCAATGTTGAAAATAGTGTCTTATTACCAATATTGAAAATAGTTGTTAATGTTAATATTTTTGTGGAAACATTTTGTGATGCATTTTGTTTTCAGGTTTTTTTTTAGAAAGTAAAAAAAAACAATTTTTGTAATAATTCAAGTTTTTACTGTCACTTTTGAACAATTTAATGGATTCTTGCAGAATAAAAATATTAACTCCTTAAAAAATTGGTGCTTGCAAACAACTAAAAAAAAAAACTTTATTTGTTGATGATGTTACCAGCCATAACATGAAAAGGATTGACTACTCAATATTGATGCATCCTTACAGATGCATCCCTACAAATATATGTGTGAGAGAGAAAATTGGATCAGGACGTCAGAACATGGAACCCCACAGATTTACACAATCACCACATCTCCGACTAATTCCTTAAAGCTTTTTCTTGAATAATCATTGCATTTTATTTTCAAATATTGCCTATATGTTTTTTTTGAAGTGTTGTTATCTGTGAGGAAGCGCTTTATTGTTTTAGAGCAAAAGTCACACTGTTGCTCGCATGATCAGGTAATGAATGATGAGTAATAACAGGTGCTTTGAATGCCACTCACTTGTGGCTTCTTTCTTCATAGACATGCTTCACAGAAGGTCTGAAGTGTGCCGTTTACTTTGAACACACTCCTTGTGTTATGTTTTCAGATGTTTGATGAAGAGAAGCCGCTTTGCTTTATAAAAGTCAAATCAAATCCAATTTTAAATAACGTTTTGTCATCTCAGACTTACATGAAGCCAAAATTTTGCATCAGAACCAAACTGCATGACATCAGACTGCATATCTGACTTGTTTCCGTTATGTTTGGGGTGAAATTTGCACCAGTAATGTATTACCAGAGTTCAGAGGGAGTCCTCTTTCCAGGAGCTTTGGTCTCTACAAAGACCTTCATAGACTTTAGTATGGAAAAACACACACTCACCCACACACACTTTCTGAGGAATGTTAATGTCAGCTTTTATGAGTTGGGCTTCATGGTGTTCTGCTGCTGAGACCTTGTTTCTGCTCACTCCGTATCTTCAGTTCCCTTTTTTTTTTTTTTTTTTACAGGAACAAACTTCTCCTTTCCAGCTGTATCATACCATGTCATCCTTTGTCACACATTCTCTTTGTCCGTCTCCCTCACTATTATGTCTGTCATCCTATCCATCTCTCTCAGGACAGTATTGACCTGCCTCACTGGATTTATTATGTAATTAAGACGGCATTAGATCGATTGTCCCATCAGAAAGCATGTTCAGATATATAATGAGCTCATCTCCACAGTAGGGCCTGCTCATTATCTGTGTGTTTGTGTAAATGGCACCTGCTACTGTGACTCAAGGTTTATTTGTAGTATGCTGGTGCTGCTGTATCTCCATGAACATTTTAAAATATCCTGTATTAAGTGCATTAACTCTGCTGAGCTGTCCAAGATCTTAATTCCCTATAGTCATACAGGTGCATCTCAATAAATTAGAATGTCATGGAAAAGTTCATTTATTTCAGAAATTCAACTCAAATTTTTTGCTTGACAATCCTCATAAGGCTTACGGTTCTCTCAGTTGGTTGTGCATCTTTTTCTTCCACTCTTTTTCCTTCCACTCAACTTTCTGTTAACATGCTTGGATACAGCACTCTGTGAACAGCCAGCTTCTTTGGCAATGAATGTTTGTGGCTTACCCTCCTTGTGAAGGGTGTCAATGATTGTCTTCTGGACAACTGTCAGATCAGCTGTCTTCCCCATGATTGTGTAGCCTAGTGAACCAAACTGAGAGACCATTTTGAAGGCTCAGGAAACCTTTGCAGGTGTTTTGAGTTGATTAGCTGATTGGCATGTCACCATATTCTAATTTGTTGAGAAAGTGAATTGGTTGGTTTTTGTTAAATGTGAGCCAAAATCATCACAATTAAAAGAACCAAAGATTTTAACAACTTCAGTCTGTGTGCATTGAATTTATTTCATACACAAGTTTCACAATTTGAGTTGAATTACTGAAATAAATGAAATTTTCCACGGCATTCTAATTTATTGAGATGCACCTGTAGTCTGAACTTAATGAGATTAATGGTTGTCATATTTTGGCCTCTTTATATCAAAGGCTACAAGGACTTATTTAACTGTTTGAGAATCTCTCTCTTTTATTCTAATGATAAAATCATGTGGAGTGTGTTTTTAAATAGTCACTCTTTTGGTCTCTCTTCCTGTCTGTCTTCTGTCTTCAAAGGAGTTTGTTTTCCTGGAAGCCCAAAGAGTCCAGGGCATCAGCATCCCACAGTGCTCCAGGATGGAAGCTGTTTGGGAAAATTCCACTGCGGGACATCCCTCCAAAAGACTCTAAAACCATACAACAGGTAAGAGAGGCGGTTTAAAGGAATGGCATTTCCAAAAATGAGAATTCAGTTTTTATTTAACCACTCTCATGTTTCAAACCACTCTGATTTGCTTTTCTGTGCAACATAAAGTCGGTATTTAAAAAAAATCTCCCAGTATTAAATATTTGAAATTATTTATGCTTATTTACTGAACATTATGGTGTTGTGATGCCTAAATTGACAGATATTAGAGTAAAAACAGTTATGTTGTAAAATTTCAGCAGCCATTACTCCAATTTTCAGTGATATATGATCCTTCAGAAATCATTCTAATATGTAATTTGGTACTATTATTATGAATGTTGAAAATAGTTTTGAAAATATTTTAATATAGTCTAATGGTTTGCTTCTGGTTAATAGTTTTGTGGAAACTAATATATTGGTTATCAGAACTCTTTGTTGAATAGAAATTTTAAAAGAACAGCATTTATTTGAATTGAATTTTTTGTAATATTATGAATCTTTCTACTGTCACTTTACTGTGTTGATCACTATATTGCATCCTGATCCTAGTTAAATAAATGTATATATTTTTTTTTTATTTACAAAATTGTACTGACCCAAACCTGTACATATTTATCTCACACACACACAAACATAAATATTAATTATGATATAATTTTCCTATTTGGGTGAGCGTTTATAATGTGTTTAGAGTATGTATAACCCAAGAAACAGTACTGCTGTTTCCATGACTAGAAACACTGAAGTTCATACCCTTATTTGTGCAGAGAAAAGATAGCAAGGGAAGGCAGTATTTGCAGAAGAGAGTTAGGGAGAGAGCGAGAAAGCAAAAGAGAGAGAGGAGGAAGAGAAACTAAGAATGACAGAGTAAGAAGGATTGAGATTACTGCTGGAAACTCTGCGTCATTTTGTGTGTCAGCCAGGAGAGACAAGTGTGTGTGGGGCAAGCTTGGGCTTTGTGTGTGTGTGTGCGTGCAGCTGTCTTTACTCTTCCCCTTCAGTAAGTGATGACTGAGCCTGTGTTGTTTTCAGCTCTGGATTTGTGCTCAATTCACCATCCACACACTGCAGGTGTCTCTCTGTATTCCAGTGAGAGAGACCTCCGATAAACTCACACACGAAGGCTTATGTCTTACAAATCGTAAAGCTTTTTTCAGATCCTCCTTTTTCAGTTAACAGAATTCTTACTGACCGTGTCTGTGTAATTTATTATATCCTTTAAAGGGGTCATATGATGTTGCTAAAAAGAACATTATTTTGTGTATTTGGTGTAATGAAATGTGTTTATGCGATTTAAGGTAAAAAAAACAACAACATTATTTTCCACATACTGTACATTATTGTTTCTCCGCTATGCCCCGCCTTTCTGAAACATGTCGATTTTTACAAAGCTCATCGGTCTGAAAAGCGAGGTCTATGCTGATTGGTCAGTTATCCAGTGCGTTGTGATTGGCCGAATATCATTACCTCAAGTGTGTGACGGAAATGTTACGCCCCTACCATATTGTGATGCCGTCCGGAGCGACGAGACAAAAACATTAAAACCCATTATTAACAAGGCATTTGTTGCATCCAGTGGGAACATAATTACGGATTATAATGACTTATACTGTTTTTTTACGCGTTGCGTTGCATCGTGCCGCGTAAACATAAAACCATGTCTGCATTTGTGATCGGAGAAATGACAAACAACAAGCACTACTCTACACTGCTCAAAACTCGCGTTTGAATCATCAGTTGCAAATTCTTTAAATATGAAAACTTACTTATAGTCTGTGAGTCAGAACAGCCTGCATTGTAGTCTACTCTACCAGGATCACGAAACAGTCCTCCATAAGATGCGCTGCACACATCTTAATATTTGGGTTGAACTGTTCTGGAACGGTGTTGTAAATACAACTTAACGACCTCTTTTGGAAGGCCAAACAAAGTAGTTTAGCTTTCACAATGAAATACACAGTGTCTTCACAACATGCCGGCGGCGGTGGCAGCAACAATAAAGTTATGCCTTCTTTCTTTGCATGAACATTTGGGCGGTGTTATGCAAATCTTCCCACTTCGTGACATAGACATGTGGTGGCGTGTTTAAACGAGGCGTTTCAGGAGGGCGTGGACCAGTCTTAACTTTATAAAGAATATCTCTTTGGGTTTGAGACTTTAGTCTTTGCAACTTTAGGGATCTTATCTATTCACGAACAGCTTGTAACACTCCAAAGAGAAAGGAAAACTTGAAATCGCATCATATGACCCCTTTAACATTTTAACATCATGGCCAAGTAAAGTTCTTTTTTTTTCTCGAAGTCTGACTGATAGACCTAGATAATGACTTTGTGGCTTTGTTCAGTATGTATACACATACATTTAAAACTACAGTTCACTTTGGTGTTTGTGCAATTGCTCTGTGAATGTAAATGTGTTATTTCTCTGCTTGACCTTGTATTGGAGTCATGCTGTTTGTGCTTCAGTTTTAATATGGGTTTAGCATTAAGGCTATTGCCTTTGGGCCTTTTACTCGTAGCATGTGGGAATCTCATGACGAAATTCTTCCTTCTCTGGATACATGTGGCAGCTGAGAAATTGTAGACACAGATCTGCTGTAATCTCATAATGACTGCTCTTCTTTCCTTTTTTTTCAGGAGTATGAGTCCAGGGTGGGATCCGCCACAGAACCACCCCCTCACCCTCAGCCAACGAGACGCAAGAATCTGGAGTTTGAGCCTTTATCCACCACTGCTCTCATTCTGGAAGACAGACCTGCGTAAGTGTGAAACGTGAACTACAGCTGCTCAAGTGCTGCGCAAGCTTCCATTGAATCAAATATTTACCCAAATTCCCTGGGCACTGCTGGTGAAACACAAGCTGTCATACCAAATGTGTGCATATAAACCTGAAGAGCAGGTTTTATTGTTACATAATTCTTATAATGTGTAGCAGAACAGGATATTATTTGCTTATTTGTTAATAATTGAAAACTGTCTTTTTGTATAGTTGTGTAACTAAGCAGATTTCACCCCTGAGTGAGATTGCTTTTCATCTGATTGTAATTTGTGGATTGAAACTAGCTGAAATGTAGTTAGTTTGCATTCCAGATAACATGCTTACAGAGAGGAAATTATTCTAAACCAAAGATGTACCACATATTCAGGATTGGGGAACCAAATGTAATAATTTATTAATAATAATAGAAATAATAATGTGATAGTTAACAATTGAAAAACCTACATCACTATTCCGAAAATTGACTTGCTCTGAAGGCACTGTCCAAAGAAAAGCACAAAAAACTTAATCCATAGAGTGAATTCAGTCCTCTGAAGGACCATACACTTTCCTCATAAACCATGTCTGTTTTAGCCTTTATATCATTACTCTGACTTAATGATTTGGCCTAAATTTAAAACCCCAAAACAACTGACATACTGGAGCTGTACCAGTGAAAACATGGATAAATCCTTTCTGAAATCTTGAAAGTGTTGCAGAAAGTTGTAGTTATTTATAACAGATGGTCAGTTTTTAATGTGTAAAGCAGAGATGATTCCTTTTAGCTTCATGCAGCAGATTTGGTTTTGTGATTAAGTTGAAGCTGAAGTATTTTACTTTATGTTAAAAATACTTTAATGTATGATACATCAACACTGGCTCAAAGTTTGGGGCAGGGATATTGATTTGCTCTACTAATGGCAGACAGAAAGTGTTCATAAAACGCATTATTAAAAATCATTACTAGTTTAATTTTGTTTAGTCATGCTAGTGGTACAGAAATTACACACTTTTCGGTTTCAAATAAATGCTGTTCATCACAACAGTAAATTACATTTTAAAATTCAGATATTTCACATTTTAATATTATTTCACAATATCTCTTTTTACTGTATTTTTGATCAAACAAAAGCAGCCTTGGTGAGCATAAGAGACTTCTTTCAATAACACATGAAAAAATCTCACTGACCCCCAAACTTTAACAGTAGTGTATTTAGGTGAAGGGATTTTATGTTTGTGCAGGTTCAAAGACTTCTTGTACTTTTAGGTACCTGCCTGCTAAATCAGAAGAGGAATCTCAGAGACACCGGCAGGAATACAGTGAGATGGTTGCAGGGGCCAAGAGAAGGGGTGAGCAACATGTGTCTCTTTGCGCGCACACTCGTTTGAGCATTTGCAATGATAATGACGTTTGACACTTGATCTGTTGGCCATACACCCCTGAATTTCAGCACAGCTGCCCCTCTCATTGCCCATCCAAACACACACAAACAATTTCTCTTCTTTTGATTAGAGATGAAAGAGGCACAGAAGAAAAAACGTCAAATGAAGGAGCGATACCGACAGGAGGAGAACATCGCCAATGCCATGGTGATCTGGAACTCTGAAGTCCTGCCTAATTGGGAAAGCATGTAAGTGTCCCATCCATATATGCACAAAAAGTGGATTTATTGATGTCGTGTAATGATGTGTTCTGTTGCCATGACAAAGGCGTAACACACGGCGTGTACGAGAACTTTGGTGGCAGGGTGTCCCGCCCAGCGTCCGCGGGAAGGTCTGGAGCCTCGCCATCGGGAATGAGCTTAACATCACCCCAGGTAACTATGGCAACTGCTGCACTCCTCACATTTGGTTAGTCTTGATCATCTGTGGCCCTCTGCCTCTGTGTAACATCAATCTGACACAAACAAACAAACCGATTGTGTCCAGATGAACTGTGTTGACAAGGAAGCAGCTGTTGCTTTTGTCACAGCAATTGTGTGTGTGTGTGTGTTAGAACTCTTTGAGATCTTCCTGTCCAGAGCCAAAGAGAAGTGGAGGAGCTTCAGTGAGACGAGTTCGGTCAATGAAAGTGAAGGTCTGTTTGTTCTTTTTGCCCCATCTTCAAACTAAACTACATCAAAGAATGAAGTAGCTGAACAATTCTGTGAAAGTGAAGTGAAGTGAAGCCAGATTGAGAGTGTTTACATTGTCTGTATATGTTGATGGTGTCAAATACATGGTTTCCATCAACAACTTCCTGAATTGCATCACATGAAATCAATAAACCAGATAAGAACTTTTCTTATCTACTCTCACATGTGACTGGAAGATACAAAGAATATTTACAACATATCCATGATAATTCTGCTGTAAACGAAGTGAATACTGCAGATTTTAATATGCTCTTTGAGAGCCATTAAAACATTTTGCATCCTTTCTTGTAACAGACCGTTTTAATAACGTCTCTGATTTAATCTTTAGTAGCAAAGATGGTGAGAATTTATTTAAACCAGTTTAAACTGTTCAGTGCTTTAAAAAAACCAGTCAAAACGCTAATTCAACGATTCATTTGCATCATCACTTAAAAATGCTTCCACAAAAATCTTTCAAAATGTCAAAATATTAATAAAAGTTTTCAACTTTGATGATAATAAGAAATGTTTTTGGGCAACATATAAGTATATTAGAATGATTTCTGAAGGATTGTGTGACACTGAAGTACATTGCAAGACCAAATTGCATTTTAAACTATATAAAAATAAAAAAGCCATTTTAAATCGTAAAAATATTTCGCAATACTACTGTATTTTGTAATTGCATTGTTGATCAAATTAAATGCAGGCTTGGTGAGAATAGGAGACTTCTTTCATAACCATAATAAAACAAATCTTACCGAACCAAAACTTTTGCACAATATAGTATGTAACTAAATATTGTTGTTTTGTAGCTGAAGATTACTTTATTACGATCCACATTGGCTATTTTGTTTCTCATTTATTTATTACCCTTACATTTATTCATTTAGCAGGTGCGTTTGCCTAAAGCAGCAAAAAACATCCTTTAAGCTATTTCAGAACAAATCCATAAAATTAGATTTTTTTTTTGCTCTGTCAACCAGCTGTAGCCTGACTGATGACTTCATCTGGTTTTAATTGATTAGATTGTGGAGTGTCGCTGGCAGACAGAGAGTCGAGTCTGGATTTAATCAAGCTGGATATTTCCAGAACTTTCCCCTCTCTCTACATATTCCAGAAGGTAAGAACAGGTGTTTTGGTACTGCAATTATTATTATTTTTTATTTTTATTATTTTTTATTTTGTTTCCATCATGACTAATTTGTTCCTCTCTCTCTTTTTCCATCAGGGAGGACCTTATCATGATATATTGCACAGTGTATTGGGGGCGTACACCTGTTACAGACCTGATGTAGGCTATGTAAGTACCATCCTGGATCATGTCAGTTCAGAGATGTTCTTCATTGAGAGTTTGACGTGTATGTGGCGTGTTTTAGGTTCAGGGGATGTCGTTCATTGCTGCTGTTCTAATTCTGAATTTGGAGGAAGCCGATGCCTTCATTGCCTTTGCCAACCTCCTTAACAAACCATGCCAGATGGCCTTCTTCAGAGTGGACCATGACCTGGTACACACATGCACTCTCTCTTCATCAAACGTATTTTTTTAGACCTGCTACAAAACCTACATTTGCTCTCAAAATAGAGGGAGTGTTGTGTCTGCGTTTGCAGTCAGCATTTATTCCAACCATCTGTTGACCCACTTATAGAGATTTCATTTGCCAGACAAAAGAACTCCCAAAAGTCGCGATCTGCTGCCGAACATTCCTTTTATCTTACACACTCAGTGTTGTGCTTTTGATCATGCTTGTGTTTAAGTTGGAGTTATGCTCTGTACTGAAGTGCTATTTTATTTTTTTCCCCAAGATGCTGAAGTATTTTGCAGCGTTTGAGGTGTTTTTTGAGGAGAACCTTCCCAAACTATTCCAGCACTTTCAGAACAATAGCTTGACGCCTGACTTTTACCTCATAGACTGGTAAATCTGCTCTTAAAATCTCTCTTCCTGCTGTTTGTTCGTTCCTCTCCTCTCTGTTTCTTTTCCTTGTTTTGAAATCAGAGAGGAGAGATTCAGAAGCAATCTTTTCCTGCAGTAGCTCTTTATCGCCCTCTAGGGCTGCTTTTATGTTCTGTTTTATGTTATTACATATATGCTGCCTCTAAAAAGACTTTTAAAGTCATTTAAAAAGTGTGAATATCTTTTCTCAAAATGTTCTATCTTGTTTTCAAATATTTCTTCCTAAAAACTGTGAATCCTTAATGGAACCTTTTAATAATGATTAAATCCCTTACAGTTCCCATCTGCAAAAACACAGAGCATCTGTACCACTTCAAAAAAAACGTCTCTCTTATTACTTTTTTCTGTCCTTCTCTCAGGATCTTCACTCTGTACAGCAAGTCATTACCGCTGGACGTGGCATGTCGTGTTTGGGATGTGTTTTGCCGAGATGGAGAGGAGGCGTTATTCCGGACAGGACTGGGAATTCTTAGGCTGTACCAGGATGTTCTACTGCAGATGGATTTCATCCATAGTGCACAGTTCCTTTCCCGGCTGCCTGAAAGCACTCCTGCACACGCACTCTTCTCCTGCATCGCAAACACGCAGATGATCAGTAACAACCGTCGGTGGAACCAGGTCAGAAATACACACATTTACAACTGTGAGACCGTTTATTTTTAATTAAATATAAATATTGAGATGGTTTTTCACTTTTGCATTTGATTATTAATTTTAAGCAATGTAATTGATATTTATATAATTTGGTCAATGGTAAACCAATAAAATAAAATTATAAAGGCATGTTAAAACTATCCAAGTCAGTTTTAATGTGATCTTCATAAAGAAAATGCTTATTTGAATCAAAATGAAGGACATAAAGCAGTCTAAATTTCCTATTTTTTCCCCTCCTGCAGGTCTTTTCTGCTCTGATCAAAGATGGACTCAAAGAAACTGACAAAAGCAGCAGCAGCAGCAACAGTCCTGCCTTAAGAAGTTAACAGCTGACTCTGTCCCAGAGGAAGTGATGGCAGTCATCACTCAGCACTTTGACCTCTGCAGTGTGCCTGAGGGACAGCTCAGGATCATCCCTGATGTGCTGATTGTCCTGTTTGAAGAATCTCCTAATGAACCTGTGTCCTGTGGAAGGGACATTTCTTCACTTGCGCTCGCGAGCGTGTTTATGCGTGTGTTTGTGTAAGAGAATAAGAGAAATGTGAGTCAGGTGACTGTATAATGTGCCAACTTTGTCAATGTTACTTCTGTAATGTGACTAGAAGAAAACAAATTATGGTAATCATAATCATTTACACACACACACATATTCAGAGGTCAGTGCCACATTATTTGAACACTCCTTTGGTTGATGTGAACCAGCGGTAGGCCCTCCGTTACACACTCAACCTGCAGTAGCCTTTCATTAGCACATACCAAATCTGTCGTTAATGTGTTTAAGCTGTTTTTCTCCGTTTATCTGAATTCAGCCTGTTTGCTAACACATACATCACTGACAGCAGGCATAGAGCCATTGAACTGTGACCATCCTCAGTGTGTCTCAAAAACAAACAGACCTAGAGCCAAAATTCATAAAAGAGCATATAAAGATTTCTATAAACAGGTGCTGTCTGGTATTGCATGCTTTGCTATAATTGGCTATATTCATTTAAATAAAAGGTTTGAACACACTTATGTAACATGTACACACACTAACCAACCAGCGGCAAACAAGAGATCAGCTTTTAGCTTTTGCACCTTCTACTACACTCCAAATGAATGAACCTTGACATTTCCAGATGTTTTTTTTTTTTTTTGTTATTTAATGTCGGTTTTTTTTTAATTTAAGGATAGTTTCTCTTGCTTTTTCTCCTTTTTTTTTTATTTTTTTTAAATCTTCCTCACTGTTGTACAGTTTTCTTATGTGACAGTTGTTAATGTACGTTTCTGGTGTGAGGGCTCTAGTGTAGATGTGGGAAAATCCCAGTATTGGAGACCTGCTGTCTTCCTGTCTTTTTTTTTTAACAATATCTTGTAAAATGTAATGTTGCTTAGAAGTTTATTAGAAGGTGCAAACCAGACCTGGGGTCAGTATGTCTTTGAAGAGTGCCATTTGCAGATCATTGGAAAATGTATTTTAAAGTTTGCTGCTTGATGAGAGGTTTATGGTCCACTGTGCTACAAAATCATTGTTTTAAACATTAAATATAATGAAATCCTGCTAAAGAACAAAATTATCTTGCTAGATTTGTACAGTATTAGTATCTTTTCACACAAGGCATTTTTTTTCACTGTACTGCTTTCCCATCATTTTTCAGTGTAAACTTGCACTTAACATATGTCTTTTCATGTCTAGCATCTTTTGCAAAATATGCTAGCATTTTTAAAGAGTTGAAAATGAATTGATTGGATTACATCACTGGCTCACCAATGGATCCTCTGCAGTGAATGGGTGCCGTCAAAACAGCTGATTAATAAAAACATCAAACAATTTATGAGTCATTAAGTCCGGTCCATTAGTTAAGGAAAAGCGGTGGTTGTAAGAAACAAATCCATGGTTATAAGGTGTTTTAACTTTGAACCTTAACTTTAAATATTCGGGATAGATGTCTCTTATTTTAGCTAGAAAGCAATGGTTTGAAGTTAAAACGTTGATGGATTTGTTTCTTACAAACAAAGCTTTTATGTGTTTGTAAGATGATAACTGATGGACTGGAGTTGTGTGGATTCACACTGTGTGAATTGTCCCTTAAAGAGAACTGAACATGCCATCTGGCAATAGCAAATGCATTCCTATAGCAGAGACTAAAGTTGTTCTTAATTTGTCCGAAGTGATAGTCTCACTGAAAGATACTATGATGGACAAATGTGTTTTGGTTCTTTATTCCTTTTATAAAGTTAGCCTTTAAAGTCACAGCTGTGAGCTGCTTGCTGTTACTAGTAAATGGTATTAAAGGGATAGTTCACCCAAAAATTCTAATTTTATGTTTATCTGCTTACCCACAGGGCATCCGAGATGTAGGTGACTTTGTTTCTTCAGTAGAACACAAACAGAGATTTTTAACTAAAACCGTTGCAGTCTGTCAGTCATATAATGTCAGTGGATGGCATCACGGCTTTGAGTCAAAAAACATACACAAACAAAACCAAATTAAACCCTGCGGCTCGTGATGTAAAGACAAAAAGACCAGTCAGTGCAAGAAACTGAACAGTATTTATATCGTTTTTTTACCTCTGATTTTCACGCAATGTCTGAACTGTCCTGAGCGTCTTCTTCTTCAGCCTGCGCGTGAGGTGTCGTCTTCTTGCTTTATGGTGGATCGCAGACTTATAAGGGCATTACCGCCACCTGTCTCTCAAATGGACCATTGACACTATCTACAATCTCAATTGGGCGTGTCAATGGTCCATTTGAGAGATAGGTGGCGGTACTGCACTTATAAGTCTGCGATCCGCCGTAAAGCAAGAAGACAACGACGCCTCACACGCAGGCTGAAGAAGATGCGAAGTTACTCAGGACAGTTCAGACATTGCAGTGAAAATCAGAGGTAAAAAATTATATACTGTTCAGTTTCTTACACAGACCGATCGTTTTGTGGCTTTACACATCAATGTATCATCACGAGCCACAGGGTTTCATTTGGTTTTGTTTGTGTATGTTTTTTGACTCTCAAAGCTGTGATTCCCATCCACTGACATTATAGGACTGACAGACTGCAACGGTTTGAGTCAAAAATCTCTGTTTGTGTTCTACTGAAGAAACAAAGTCACCTACATCTTGGATGTAACAGATCAACATCAAATTTTCATTTTTGGGTGAACTATCCCTTTAAGGGAAGGGCAGGTTTTACTCTAGATAACATTTTATAAAACAGAGGGTGATGGTGTAGAGTCATACATTTTTGGTCTGTTTTTCAGAAGAGAAAAAAAACTATTTTAAATGGATATAGCAGCTAAAAATTATTATATATATTATAAAAATTACAAATTCATCTCTACAGAACACTACATCAAGCTAATTCAACAAGAAACTATAATAATCACAAAAAGGTCAAATTTTATCAACCTGGCAATAACTTGAGGGTTATAAAGCAAATGGAAAACACTGACCACCAACCTCTAATCCAAAAACCTTTTATTCCTGCACACAAATTTTTCAAGCCAAGTATGAATGTTTATATTTTTCAGAGCTAGAACGTTGCAGCGTGTTTGGTTTGTGGAAAACTCTTCATAGGACAATGATGAATGGGACAAACTTCAGGTTGGGCTGGATATACAACCAGAACGTCTGCACATTTATAGAAAGTTCTGGCCTTAGTTTAATTTGACATCTTCTCTGGTTGTTCACATTTAAATGTAACAGGCTAAACGTGTCTCTATATAAGTGAAGCGTCTCTGTACTACACTGTATGCGGTTGGAGTGTCGCCAACAGGATGAATTAACATATTAACAATCATGTCTAGGCATTCTGAGGCCTTCAACCAGAGAAGACTCACCAATGATTGCTGATTGAAATGTAGCTCAAAAGCTCAAACACATAGCTGACGCTTTTAGAAGAAAGATCTTTGACACTAAGGTGAATCCTTATCTGCTTTTTTCTTGTCCTTTTTCTTCTTCTTTTCTTTTTTCTTCATTTTCTTCTTCTTTTTCTTTTTCTCGCTCTTTGTTGATTCTGCATCATCGTTGTCATCAGTTTTATCCTTTTTCTCTTTGTATTTGTCTTTACTCTCATCTTTGCCCTCTGGCTCGTTTTTGAGTTTGATATCTGTAGAATGAGGGCTTCTTTCATCTCTAGTGCGCTTTCTGTCAGGACTGCGTTCCTTGTGGTCCTGGTAGACCCTTGAGGACCTACTGTGTGGGCTCTCACGTCTGTGAGATGATGTGTGATGCTGGTCTTCATGTCTCTTAGCATCCCTGTGCTGCTCCTGTGACCCAGTTGTCTGCAAAGACGAGAGAAAGCTTTTGTTTCTTTCCCACAATTACAGATGCAGCGTAATATAATTTAGAATTAGTGATCCGTGGTAAATGGCATTTATAGTGTCACCTTGTTCCTGTCCTTGCGGCTGTGACTTTCTACATGTCTCTCTGCGCTGTTCAGATCACCAAAGAACTCCTCACAACGCTGGCAGAAGAAACCCATCACTGGGATCAAATCACCTTCACCTACAATCAAGATGCATGTTGATACATAAACGTATATTTGCAAAGATGCATATTTAAACTTAACTGTTCAATACAGATTTAATTAAATAAAATCAATACATAGTTGAATTAAAAAATATATGTGGTTCAAGTAAATGAAAAATAATTTAATTTATGAATTGAGACCAAACGAAAACAATATAATAAGGCTCATGGCTGAAATAAATAAATTGTAGTACTGAACAAATAACAAAAACAATATAATTATTGAGGATTGTGGTTCAAGTAAATACAAAAAGTCAACCAAAATAATAGCAAGGTTCATGATTCAAAAAAGAAAAATAAAGTTGTAATGAACAAATAAAAGCTATATTGTTGTATGGCTCATGGTTAAAATATTTTATTTAAAAAAAATTACACACACAGTTCATGGCTGAAATAAATTGTTGAATTGAACCACAAGATAAACAATATTAAAAAATAATAATAATAATTTTGTTGAACAAACACGATACCATTATATGGTTCATATTTCAAACAAACAAATAAATAAAAAAAAAGTTGAACTGAACCAAAAGAAAAATTAGCATTCTGTGACATTTTAAAGATATGGATCATGACAATTAATTACTGTTAAAATTGGTATAATTCATAAAATGTCAATATTCTCATCCAGCATTTACTAATTTAATGCAAGGCAGCTGAAATCGCTAATAGCATCTTTAAGTAACTTCTTTAGATACGTCGTTCAAGTTGAAGGGCTCATTTAATACCTTCCTGTTTCAGAAGACCCTCCAGTTCCTTCACCAGGTACTCTTTCCTTTTCTTTTGAATCTGTTTCTCTCGTCTGTCTCTCTCCTTCTCATCCGTCTTCTAAAACAGTCAAAGGTGTTCACAGTTAAGACTCTTGGGAGCATGACATAATACTGGGCTGATTTTAAGAGTTGTGATGCAAGATAGGTTTCCAGACTCTTCATACCTTCTCCCCACGCTTGAAATCGTGATTAGAATGGCTGCTTCCAGAGCGATTACTCCTACTCTCATCGGTTTTGGTCGCTGAAAACAGACACTAAAAGTTAAATGCATTACAAGAACAAGGGCCTTGTGAAGTATTCTTGGTCGTTTTATCATTTCTTCAAATAGCTGACAGACATCAAGAACAAAACAACAGCTATGATGCAATGCAGCCTCTTAAAATGTACTTTCAAGAATCTCCTGACACAATTCTGCAACTTAAAAGACCAGTTAATTCAATTCCAGCCAACTGTAGAACAGATTCCATTCAAACTTTGTTTTTTTTAGATCATTTCAGCCTTTTTAGTTTTATACATAAGCCTACTTTTTTTTTTTTTTTTTAAATACTTTTAAAATAGTTTGAAAACCTCTCTCTGATATGGATCGCATGTTCTCTAACTCTGGTGATGTTCTCATGATATTTGCATACTGAATACTGCTTGGTCTTTATCAAACTTTGGGTAAAAGTGACAACTAAAAAGCATAAAACATGCCGGTTCTGACCTCTGGACAGTGCTTGCAGCGCCTCCAGGGTTGGTTTGAGCATCGGGAGCGAAGCAGGCATTCCATGTTCTTCCTTTTTTTCCTTTAGCCTGGCAGCCATTTTACAGATGTCAGCCATGCCTGGATTCAGACCGATGGTCTTCAGGAGGGTTCTCACCTTCTCGCATTCCTCTGGAGTGACTTTCGTTGTGCCAGAAGCAGCGGGCGGCACGCTAGCAGGCATGGCATGTGCTTTGGGTTCCTGGAGACCGTGAGTCTGGTGTTCTTTACTGAGATGATGAACCGGAGACCTCACAGTTCTCGTCTGGGCCAACGGAACGGTCACAGCCTGAGGTTTGGATCGCTCCTCTTCCTCTCCATAAAGGAATTTCTCTTCATCTTCAACACTCTGGAACGCAGGCTTGGTTCCAGGCTGCTGGTTGGGTGTGTTCCAGGATAAGATATTGGAAAAGCTGCCGCTGTCTCCGCCAGCCCTCTCGTGAGGAAGCATGGAACCATAACAGAGTTCAGCAGAGGCTTCAGGTTCTAGGTTCTGGAAGCCTCTAACTGCATACTGATTTGCTAGAAACATTCCCCTTGTGTCATCAGTATTCTGTTTAGAAGACAACGGAAGACATTTCACATTACTTGTAGAGAAAATTACGGGAGTTTAAATGGCCTGAGAGTCAACAAGACAAAATAAATATCAATGTCAAGTATCAGCAAAAAAGAAGTGTCTAGGATTGTACCAAGTTCCTAAAAATGTACTCTTTCAAGTTGGTTTAAAGTTCAAATTTATTGCCTCAAAGTGTCACAAAATAAAATATATTTTACCTTGAACACATCTTAATCATTTGAAAAAAACATGTTTTGAAATGTATTTTTGAAAGTAATTTTTTTTTTAAATCGTGCATTATAAATTCATAAATATCACTGTTTTTTACATTAACAAAAGGTTGTCAAACTGATAAACTAAAGTTTATTTACTTTTTAAAATTAAAACCATGCTCATATTTAAGTCTGTATGAATGGCATTGTAATGTGTTTTTTAAGCTACATTATGTTTGTATACTTTTTGATTCCCTAAAGGTTTGCCATTTGAATGATATACGAGCTACATTTCTCTGTGTATGGAAATTACATTACAAGCACGTGGGAATGACGTATTTATGCAATTTCCTGCATAATCATCCTGACAGCTCTAAAATATTTTTATTATATTAATGTTATTATAGGTTTATCAAAGCGGGTAAAATGGTTTAGAAGGTGGATTATTGAACGGTCTCATTAATAATAAAGTTTATTTAAAAAAATAATAAAAAAAGGTAATAAAACATCATGGGTCATGAATGGGTCCAAAAAATATAGAAACTCAAACTCAAAACGTGACAGAATAGTGTTGCGCACCTGGCTTCTAAGGAGGGCATTCTTGACCAAAGGCAGGTGTTTGTCTAGATCTTTGTTTTGAAGGATCTGTTTTAGTCCATGGAATAGATCAGGCATGGCACTACTGCCAAGGCTTATTCCACTGCTGGCGCTGCTAGAGCTGTGATTGCCTTCAGCGGTTCCTCTGGAAGACTGTTTTGTCTGGCTGGGGCTCAGGCGAGACTGACTCTTACTGTGTGTTCCGCTCTTCCCGTGACTGCGACTACGACTCCTTGCACGACTTTTGGCCCTCGTGCGGCTTTTACCTCGACTGCGACTGCGTGTTTTGCTGCGAGCCCGACTCTTTCCATGACTCCGAGCTTGACTACGACCCCGGCTCCTTCCACAGCTCCTGCTGCGACTGCGTGGACGGCTCCTCCCTCTGCTCCGACTCCGCGTTCGGCTGGGATGCTTATCTGCTGTGCGATCACCATTGTCATTTTTATCTCCTGGCAGCTCAATCCGGTCACTTGCCTCCAGGATTCGGAGAAACTCTTCTGCCTTTTTCCTTTATTGAAACACATGGAAATGGATTTTATATACACACAATATTGAAAATAATAAATGTTTCTCGAGTATCAAATCAGCATATTAGAATGATTTCTAGAGGATCAAGTGCACACTGAAGACTGGAGAAATGGCTGCTGAAAACTCAGCTTTGCATCACAGGAATAAATTACTTTTTAAACTATAGTTCTTTATACCTGACTTCTTGGTTTTGCTCATCTAGACTTTGGGTTGACCAATTCTGTGAGGTGTGACCAAGCTGATGCTGATTTGAAGACGTAAGCAGAGAGCTGATCAGCGTGGATCCACTTTGGTCAGCAGTGTGGCTGGTGAAGGGTCGGTTCTGCGGGGGAAAGAAAGGAATGAAAGAAAAACAGAAATATCACGACACACTGACAAATGACATGTCTATATTCATATAGAAGACTCAAATAATTTCCAGTACAAAATCAGAGATCACAATGAAAATCTGAGATTTCTGCCATTTAAACCTAGAAAGAATAAGTTTTAAATCCTACATTTTTAAACAAAGCATGAGGTTAAATGACAAAGTATTTAAATACCTGCTGGCCACTAATCAATCAAACAAATGAGTGCCACTGTAAATGCATTGTTTTAAATGAAGCATGACATGTCACTGCATGACATTGCTTGAGATTGCCTTTCAATTACCACATGCAATACTAATTCACCATACTTTCACGTACTGCTCTAAAAATGCATTCCTTACATCATGGAATCCAAAGATATTGGATATTTATACAAAATATTTAATATCAAATTAAATATATCAATTTAGCATTTTCACCAGGTGGATGTAGCCAATGCTGCGCCAAGAAGATGCAGATTGGGTTTATGACTGAACAGAAAAACACGCACCTCGTAAAACGATTCTCTGTTGTAGTTTTTAGTCCCTGCTCCGTACGGGCGTCCCGGAGGAGGACCGGGCGGCGGAGCGAAGTAACGAGGCCCTGGAGGAACCCCAAAAGGAGGGCAGAACGGCGGAAGTCCAAAAGATGCTGCAGGGTGTCCGAACCCTGACGGGGGTACCGGTGACCGGTGATAGTCCGGGTTCGACGTACCTCTGTACATTTTTGTGCATAAATATCGGATCAATTCATGTATGATTTCAACGAGTTCATTTTTTCATTCACTCTCTGAGCTCCTGTGTGTCTACATGAGTCTGACCACCTACAGGCCTGGAGCCACAGCGCAGCTCACAAACGCCTGTCCAAACGATGCCAGTTTAAAACTGTTGCACTTACGTTATTTAGCAATAAAGACAGACAAATAAATATACAATATTGATGTAACCGTTGAACACGTTTGCCATATTGTAATTTGGTTCACCTCTTTTGGATTGAGGCACACATGCAAACAATGGCTATATTGTGTTCCTTGGGATATCGCGAAATAACAAATAACAATAACAAATGCAAAAATGTTTAAGTAAAAGTGCCTCCTTTTCTTTTTTTTATTCAGTGAGCAATACAATTATATAGATAATACGTAGTAAAATAAAGGGCAATTAAAAATACACAAAATGCAAATTCATAAAAAATCATGTTAAATGAAAGCTATGCACGGATTTTTTTAATTAAAAAAGTTACAGACCCAGTATTCTCAGTATTCATAAACGAAGTAAATTTAATTTATGCATGTGGAACTTAGCAAATAATTAATAAATTAATAAATAAAAAAATAACAGTATAAAAATTAATACATGAATGATCAAATTAAATAAATTTCCATTTTATCATTTAATTAATAATGATTTAAAATATATGGTTGTTTATTTTCTTTACGGGGGAACGCAAGAACTGATAAAAACGTATCCGGCATGTTTCTGGTCACCTACAGGAGCTGTAAGGACCCCATTATGCCAACCCAGCATTGCAGTCATTACGGCTGCTAGAGGGAGTAATTTACTATGGAGTTTACTGATATTCTTGATTCTTTGGAGGACCTAGGGTAGGTGAATCAAATCTCTCTTTGTCATATATTTTATTGCTTTATCAGCCGTTTTGATTTTCGGTTTAACGGCGTAAATATGAGCTCGTGCATACATGTCCAGGTGTTGTGCCCATTTTCGACCCCTGCCAAATTATTACCCCCTCTCGTTGAAATCGCTACCTGATTGCCTAATCCCAACTCCACCCCTAATATTAACCCCTCCCCCACACCTAACCCTAAACCTACCAATAGGTAGTAATCTGGCGGGGGTCAGAATTTGGCACCCCGCCAGATGTTCTGCATGATCAAAACACAGAACCGCTGTACTGCTGTTGATTGTATCAACTTGAGGCGAATACCTATTAATTTTAAATATTTTTATCCCTCAACAGCCGTGATTTGTTGTCTGTCAAATTATATTAAAGCTAGGGATATTGGCATATGTATTTGACAGCATGATTTATATAATCAATGAAGTGATTGGGCCGTGCAGTCAGCAGTGCTCATATATCTCCACTGCCATAAATAGCCTGAATCATCATAGCCTAAATGATCTGTAGACTGTTCTAGAATCAGTGAAGAACTGGTAGGTATGGGTCGTATTTGTGTAAAATTAAAAGCTTTAGATGTAATAGGTAAATTATTGGTAATGCCATTTGAGGATCAGAACTAATTTAAAGGGGTCATATGATGCGATTTCAATTTTTCCTTTCTCTTTGGAGTGTTACAAGCTCTTGGTGCATAAAGAAGATCTGTAAAGTTGCAAAGACTAAAGTCTCAAATCCAAAGAGATATTCTTTATAAAAGTTAAGAGTCAGCCACGCCAACCTAAAACGGCTCATTCTAACACGCCCCCACATGTCTACCTCACTATCTGGGAAGATTTGCTTAACGCCACCCAAATGTTCACGCAAAGAAAGAAGGCATAATTTTATTCTCGCTGTAGTATTGTTGCCGCCGCCGCCATGTCGTGAAGACGCTGTGTGTTTCGTTGTGAAAGTGAAACTACTTTGTTTGGTCTTCCAAAAGAGGACGATATCCGCTTCATCATGCCTACAGCTGGTCTGTGCTGGTCGCTGAGGGAATACATCAACTTTTACCGTGGACAAAGCGGAGTTCAGCCCGGGGTCCGTCACATGTGGTTGCTGCTCATTTGGCGGATCCGCTGGCTGTGCCGTTCTCGACCCCGCCACCTCAGCTCACTCTGGCCCGGCCTCAGCTCACGCTAGGCCGCCGTGTGTTTCGTTGTGAAAGCGAAACTACTTTGTTTGGCCTTCCAAAAATGGACACGACTAGAAATCAGTGGTTAAGTTGTATTTACAACACTGTTCCAGAACACGTCAACCCAAATATTCGGATGTGTCCAGCACATTTTATGGAGGACTGT